TGAAGACAAGAGTCGTGATTCTTTCAGGCGGAAGATCTGGGATTTGGGCTTTGGATGTAGCTGGAGGTCACCTCTACAGCATGCAAGATCCTAGATGTCCAAGAATGCGTTGATGAGTGTGCAGCCAGCTCTGAGATGTGTTCATCTCTGTCAGCAGACCTCATCGCACAACCTCGTGCTTTGCATTCAGCTCCACACTCTGCAGTTTTCTCCTCTCCAGGCATCCTGCTAGACCTGCACTGGGCCTTCTCTTGGCCCCTAATTACTCCTTTACACACTTCTTCCAATGTAACACCGCTATAAAGCCGGCTTAACCAGCTGGGGGAAGATTGCTGGCCTCTGGGAAGCCTGCTGTGATAAAGAACCTCCAGAACAGTTCCTGCAGCTGGGAACCGATGCCAGACCTTGAGGGCTGTGTCGGGGGAAAACAGGAAAAAGACAAATAGTATGGCTGGGACGGAGTGAAATCCCCGACATCCTCAGCTTTTGGGATCTCTGTCTGGAGCACCAGGTTTCTGGGAGTGACTTGAAGCACAAGGGTTACTAACAGAAGTCATAATATATTCTAGACAACTCTTTTGCATCCTAAAACTGCATTTACTATGCAAGGCTACAAAAAATCCCTGGACATAGTCTATCCTACTTGATTTTGAGAAAAATCCTCCTGATTTTGCCTGTTTTTCTCTTTCCTCACTCTCGGTTCCTTCCTTTTTGTATTTCCCGATCTTACACGCGATATATTTGTGTTGTTGCTAATGCTCCTTGAGTTTAAATTAATCTTTTAAAGAAAGATGAACCGCATGAACTTTCTTTTGTTTTTAGAAATCACATCCATATTCATAATCCACTAATCATGTTTGATAAATCAGAATCCGTTGTGAAACATACTAACCCTTCATGTTGCTGCAGTTTTTAATCTTGTAGGAAAAGGGATCATCTGTGCAGTGCGTTTGAAGGGGCTGGGCTGGGCTGTCTGGGGTGTCTCATTGAGTCAGCTTCCCTGTTTGAACAACACAGCTTGTGCTCCCGAATCTAAGCTATCATCTAAAAACATAACGAAGTCTTCAGTAAAAAGAGGAATCTTCACAGTGCAGACCAAACACCATCTCTGTGATGCTGGCCTGAGTCTGCAGCTGGTCTGGAAGAGCAGCTCTGGGCTCTGCCCTCATTTTGGTGGCAGAGCCACGCTGCAGCCTCAAACTCATATTCTTGCAGGTCAAAAATGACACGTATTTCACTTGCAATCAAAGAATCCACAGAGGGATGACTGCAGAGATCCATGGGGTCCATCATAAGCAGTGACTTATTTAACCTGGGTACGAGTTGTGCGTAAGAGTGGGAAGATGACTTTTGCCCCTCCATCATTTGCACAGGAGCGTTCACATTTGGTTGTTTTCTATTTACAAACTGGGAATTTTTGGCAACACCTGGATAAGTGTGAGATTACCTCCATCGCATTTTTTTTTTTTTTTTTTTTTTTTTTCGCATCAGTGCATTTATCCTGATCTTTGCTTTAGAGAAAGAGGAGTCCAGACCCTCTCGTCTATTCTGCCTGCTACGAGAGCGCAGCATTTTCCCCACTGCCGTGGGGCAGCCAGGCTGAGACAAGAAGCTGTGGGGAAGGACAATGACAAAGTGCAGAACTCAGGATCATGGACCACCTCCCACGGGTGGTGTAAAGGTGGCTGGCACCAGTCCGTGTTGGTGGAGTTGCTCTGCTTTCCACCCAGCCCCGAGGTTTGGGCTCCCGTGCTCTCCCAAAGAAATATAGCTGTTATTTGCTGAAGCAGATTCTAAGCCTGCCACGCTTAATAATTCAGTGGTGAACTTTAGAGCTGAGCGCAGGCTGAAAAATAACTTGCTTTAGTAAGTACAAAATCTCCATTTCTGCTGCCTTCGCTTCTCCCTCCGATTCTCACCCCTGGCCCAGGCAGCCCCTGCAATCCAAACCCTCGCCGTGAGCACGCGACGGAGCCAAAAGGAAAAGCTCCAAAAATCCCCCTCTGAAAGGGAGGGAGATTCATTTCCTCTCTGCGGGATGTTCATTGTTTTTTCCTGCTCTCAGCGGCCCAGGTCTCTGTCGTTTTACATGATGTTTTATAAGGGAAACGGTTCTCGTAGGCACCGATGAGTTCATCCGCAGAGACGCGCGGAGCCTGGAGATTTAAATTTATACCTCCCCGACACCGCGGTAATTGGGGCTCCCAGGAGAGGAAACCCTGACAAGTGACACAAATAAACTCTGCCAGACCCCTCTGCAGACCTGTAGCAGCAGTAACCTCAGGAGGGTTCCCATGATCGAATTACCCTTAAACAAATGCTTCTGCAGTAACTGAGGAGGCAACTGCTGAAGGTCAGCCAGGTGTTTATAGACCGTGCTTACCAGGTTTATTTCCCAGTCCATGAGTTGCAACACTGGCAAAATGGAGCTGGAAGAAGCTAAAAACCTAATTAAAACTTGTTACTCCAATTGTCTACGAATGCATTTATTTAGGCCTTCCCTAGCCCTGTAGCTATTCAGGCATAATTACACAAGTGCTGTTTCCCAGAATATAAATGAATAGGATAAAGTGCACACATTTTCTCCCCTGTGAATTGAAATTTGGCAATCTCTGTGGCACTTGTTTGGGGAGCTGATGAAAACATCCCGAAGATGTCTACATCTCAGTGGAGAAGAGGGAGGTATGCCACTGACAGGCAGGTAGGTATGGATGTATGGATATATCAACAGACAGAGAATAGAAAAATGAGGTATAGATTTTCTTCCTTTTTCCTTTTTCTGACTCCCTTTGGAGTCAGAACCTTTTTTTTTTTTTTTTTTTTTTTTGAGGGGAAGAAATGTGGTACATGGGTGCAACCAGATCTCGACAGCCGAAGGAACAGTGATCCTGAAATTTGGGAAGACCAGAAATTCAGAAAGAAATTCAGCAATCCTCAGCAGACCCATTTGCAGCCCCCCTCATGATGCCAGCTTGTGTGATGCTGGGGCAGCCCCTCAGCCACTTGCTCCCAGCTCTTTTTTTCTTTTTTCACCTTTTGCCTGATGAGATTTCAAGCTTCTTAGGGAAATGACCTATTGTATAAATATGTTATCTCCATGTAGGAGGGAAAATAATTAATACTGATGTGTCATTTAAACAGCTGGGAGGGAATGCGTTTCAGGTGCTGCACTGCTTCAACTGCTGATTAAAAGACAAAAAGTCCCCACAGCTGACTCACAGGCTGCTGGTGTACCAGTTCTGGGTTGACCATGCACAGAAGACAGACAGCTCCTTCTGGTGAAAATGGTGAGGAAGCCAGAAGTTACGGATGTAATACAAAAATCATGGAATTAAATTCTCAGATTGGATCATGTAGGAGGTTCAAACCTGAAGAGCAAGGGGCTCTTTGGTATCTCTCATTCTGGATTTCCTCCCAGAGGCTGCTGGTTTTGAGCTAAACAGCAGCAAAACAGAAGTGTTGGCTTGCACAGAGCTCTGCTGTAAGCCCAGTGCCTGATAGGATCTATAAGCTTGATGGGACCCTGGAAATTCAGAGAGGTTTTTATTAGAAAGAATTAGTCATGGTGTCAAGGGACTCTTTCACTCCTTGCTTGTTTAACTGTACGTAAATTGTTTATCACTTAGTCATTACCAGCTCACATTCCTGGATCTAGCCCTGTTGACAACTCGTCCCTTGGGGTTTTGTTGCAGTGCAGACCTCATCCTGGCCCTGGATCTCCCTGCCATATCCTTTTCACGTTGCTATTTGTGAGCTGAACTCTTCCACGCAGCTGGAGGAAGAGCTTGGTCAGGGGGAGGCTTTCCCAGGAGCAGGAGACAGTCCCATTGACCCCTCAGCCCCAGCGGCTGTTCGCATCCTCCCCTTGAATGCTGGCTCTGCACACCAGCAGACAGGACAAAGATCTGCTCCAAGCCATCTGTGCCTGGACCCAGTCTCCCAAAGACACCCATCGAGTTTTGGGGCAGTCTAAGCTCCCCCCGCAGAGGTACCCGTGATAGCAGCCCAGCAGCTCACCAGCTCCAGCGCTTCCCAATATCCCAAAGTTTTCCTAACGCGCCAATTACTCGGTGCCCCAGGTCATCACCGCGCTGGTGGTAAAATCTGCAGTCACAGAGCTGGACTTTTCTATGTTTCCCTCGGCTCACAATCACCAGAAGATGATTTAATTGCATGAGAAAATGTTCTCTTTAATCTCTTAGAATTAGTCATCTCTTCCTCACTCATCTCTCTGTATTTTTGGTTAGAGAGACTGAAAATCTTAATATATCAGTGACATTTATAACACATGTTAATATTATAAAACGTCAGCGCTCTATTTGCAGAAATGAATACTGATGTGATGGGAGTGTTTTATTATGTCAATGACTTTTATTATAAATATGATAAAACTGTGTCATCTTTTTTTTTTTTTCCAAATAAAAAATAAAACCACCTAATCATTTATCTCAAGGTTACTGCTCCGCTACCTGTTTAATTTATTCAGTGGCGCTGTTAAAAAAAAGCACACCCTGCAATGGATTTTCACGTTGTATGGTCATTTGATGGATGTTAGCATTTACCTGCATGTTTATTTAGGATTAGAGTGTGATTATGAGCACAGAAATGGGGCTAACGTAGAGGCTTCCTATGGACACAAAGCCAGGAGATGAAACCTAATTTTGAGTGACTAATTAATTATTGCTAGAGGGTGAAAGGGGGCTTGATATCATGGTGTCCACCTTGCTTTCTCCAGGGTTGCTGGCTCCTGACACTGCCATGCCTTAATCCTGTCGACCCTGTAAAATGAGGCTTGTGAGATGCTGACCCCCTCCCGCTAGTGCCCTGCCTGAAGATCTCCTGGCCCTCGTGTTCACTGCCAGGCCCACGGAGATCAAGAGGCTCTGGGAGGTGTCTTGGACAAGCCCATTGTTTGGGCTGTGACACCATCCTGCCATTTAATCTTAATTAATTACTTAATCAAAGCTAGTATTTACTGTTGTGAGTAAGCTCAACTGTTTGCAATAGGTAGTTGCACTGCCAGCCCCAATAATCAGGTGGCAGATTCACCAAAATCAAGAGCTCATTGTAAGGATGATGATATTTTATGGAAAGGATTAGTAATGAATGGGTGTTTGTGTACATTTCTGCTTTGTCTCCTTGACTGTTTAAATTTCCTTACAATTTTTTTTTTTTCAAATTGCAGACCCCTAAGAATCATATTTACAAGAAATGAAATACTAATATATTTAGAAGAGAAAAATTGATTTGATCCGTACAAACTACCATGACTGCAAGGGCTGGGTTTTTCAGAGTACCAGGAAATGCCATGGAAGTCCCTCCAAAGTTGGAAGCAGCCACAGCGAGCTGGCACACGAGCGGTCCTGAACTCACACGGCACCGTGAGGGATCCGTTCCCCTGGGGAGGAAGCGAAGGGAGGAGGACAAAGATTGCAGCGTTAAGATCATGCTGTTGCTATGGTTAGTAGCATGAAAGTCTTGAGATTATTTTTTTTTTATGTATATATGCTTTTTTCTTCCCCCCATTCTGTCTGTGTGCTGGCATTCCTGCAAAGGGAAGCCTGGGACTGCAGTCCCCGTAAGAAGGCCATCTGTTTTGGTTAGCGACTTGAAGGAGGTCAGGAATGGGCTGTGGAAGCCGACTGTCACAAAACGTCACGCAGCAGATAATAAACCCACAGCGAAATTTAATGTGTGGGTGTTTTTCATGGAAAGCATCTCAAATCTCTAGAGAGACACCCGGTCTGATGCGCTGCTGCTGCTGCTGAGACCTGGCAGAGTCGTCACGATCGGTGCAGGATCTGGCCAGGGGACTGCTGGGGAAGCAATGACAAGCCAAGGAGCTTCCCCAGGTGCCACCAAACCTAATGGCAGCACGGGGCAGGGAAGCTCCCTTGCCTGCTGCCTGAATGCAAAATATCTGCAAGGTGGCTCTGCTCGAGGGCTCGCTAATTTGTGCTGCGGGAAGGAGAAATAACTTTCTGCTGGTGTCCAGTTTGGAGATTTCCCGGAGGGGAGGACAAGAAGTGACCTCCCTGGGGCAGTGGCAGCGGGACACAGTGTGCTTCATCCCAGCAGTGCCTGTCCCATCCCCTTGCCAGGCAGCACGAGGGCTGCTGAGAGGCTGCCTGGGTTATTAGGCTGTCTCAACAGCGTGTTTGTGATGGTTCCCCAAGGACTCCAGTCTGAAGTAGCGGAGTCGCACAACCAGAGAAGGCTTCTGCCTCCCAGAAGTGAGCTACAACAGCACTTTAGCTGGAGACAGAACAGCTCTTTAAAAAGAAAATGCCGCGACTCCTCTTTTAAATGTTCCACTGGGCTCTCGAGGAGCTTTGCAGCCATCCACAAGGCTCTGAATGTTAAGGATGCAGAAACGAGCCCTGCTAAATCACAGCGGTGCCTGGCTGGTCTCCTACCAGCAGCAAGAGAGCGCAAGGTGTCCTGTGGTGGCAGGCAGGACACAGGGATCAGCTCATTTCACACATTTCTTCACTATGTCTTTATTTTCTTTACTGTTTTCTTTACTTTCTTTACCTGTTCTCAATCCTTAAGGGTGAAAGCTCACACCTCTTTCTGCTCCCCTCCCCGTACCAGGGTCTATGGGGAAACACAAAGTAAGGAAATCATGGCAGGTTATTTACCCCTTGGGGAAATGCCCCACTGGAGAAATATAAATCAGATTTTAATCAGGAGAATTCCTAATTAAATCTACAGGAAGCCCTGATCCTCTTCCATGTACTCTGGTCTCAAACAAGCTGCTACTGATTTTATATTGGTGTGAGATAATTGCTCTCACTATAGACTTTCATAGAGGTCTTATTAGTGACATTCAATATACTCCTAATGAGCAAGGTCTATCGAAACACCCTTCTGTATAGCAACCTATTGCACTCAGGGGGTTAGAGATCCATAGGAAAGGAGAGTGGAGATGAAGCTCCTGAAGCACAGGTGGGCTTGTGAGCCTTTGGAGAGCTCTGGCACGGGCTGCTGAGATGTTGCCGCAGCTCTGGCTGCAGATGCACAGCCCTTCCCAACCCCCAGACAAAAAAAATAAATAAAAAATGTATTGACGCAAAATGTGGGAGAAAGGAAGAGAATCTGCAAATCATTTTTATTTATCTGAATCTATTGATGTGTCTGTATATCCATATCTAGCTGCCTACCCGCCCGTCAGCGCATTTCTTCGCCATCCTCCCACGGACGCTCGTCTGACTCCTGCCCCTGCAGCTGGTGCATGCCAGGCATCTCCTGACCTGGGCTGGCTTTTGCCTGCAGTTCTCCTGCAGGTGAGTTTTTAGAGCTTCCACCTCCTCTACTCTCATCCTTCAGGAGCTGGCTGAAGGAAGAAATTCCCTTCTGCATGTGCCAGGGCCGCAGGCACAGCCTGGGTGGTGCCTGGGAGAGCAAAGCTGGCCACAGGTTGCCCAGGAGGTGCTTTCAGTGAGATCTGGAGGGAGAAGCTGGGTGATGGTGCACGTAATGCCAGCAAACCCTGGGGAACCTGAAGCAGGAGAGTGTCTCCGAGCTGATGTTACTCTGGAGTATAGAAAAGTCCACGGCTGAATGGCTAAAAGGGGAAAGCTCCAGCAAAGGGAGGAGATGGGCTCAAGGGGAAAGGCTGCTGTGTGAGACATCAGTAGGGATGAAACAGTTATAGGGAGAGAAAAGGGAGTTTGGGGATTAAAGGAGCAATTAGAGGGAATGTCTGAGGGGCCTGGCTGCAAAGGCAAAACCGCCTAACTCATGGCTGGTAAACAGAAAAGGGGTGGGTAGGGAATAGGGCACCGCAGGGGCTCAGAGAAGTGTTGGCAGTGAGGGCCTGGAAGGAGGAAAAGCTGCACAGAGATGCCAGAGAGAGGCAGAAGCAGTGGCCTGAGGCAGAGAAGAAGGGTGAGGGATGTAGGACCGAAGCTCTGGGGTGCAGGATTGATTTACAGAGCGAGGAGCAGCCAGACAAGAGGAAACACTGGCACGAAGAATTCCCATGAGGGGGGAGCAATGCCATGGGCAGGGACAGCGGCCAGGCCTTGGTGCTCTCTTCCTGTCACTTTGACACTTTGCTCTAATTTCACCTCCATCCGTTCCTTCCGCAGCCACCTTTCTGAGTTCCTTAAGGATGACTCATTAAAACAACAAGGAAAAAAAAAAAAAGCCAAAGAAAAGCAACAGCCACCTATTTCTGATCTAAAATGAAAGGGCAAGCTGTGTTTTCTATTTGGTCTAGAAAATGCCTTTCAGAGCTCAGCTGGCATTTAATTTGTTTATTCTTCCTCAGGACTCTTGCTCGCCTCTCCCTGCTCCTGTTTCTCACAGTTGCTCCTAAATGGAAGGCAAAGCCAATAATGGCCAGGCTGGAGGTGAGCTTTCAAACCCACAACATTGGAGCAGGTTCAGAAGGAAACAAATGGAGGCTGCTCGGGCATCATTTAGGAAATGGCTGGAGACAGATGGGCATTTGGAGCTGAAACAAGAGCAGGAGAGCTGCAGACCTTGGGGCAGCAGGAGGGTTTTGTGCTGCTGCAGGGCAGCTGGCAGTGCTGGCTGGGGGTGGGAGGGGTGCTAGCAGCAGCCCCAGCTGCCCAGGGGAAAGCTGCCTTCCTCCTCATCATCATCATCATAACCTGGGCACTGTGATGGCAGGAGGTGGCAGTTCACGGTGACAGCTTTATGAGCAGATCTGTGCGCTGTGGTGATGAGGCTTAGCTCCTGAAGAGCTCCAAATGGGACTTTTAGAGGCTCTTAAACCAGCTGTGCAGTGTTTTCTGTTTCACAAGACCAGGTCCAGTCCAATTTCCAGTGTGAGGACCTGCGTGTGAGTACGCCTGTGTGTGTGCCAGTACTGGAAGGGCTGCAGTGCGCTAATGATGAGGTTGTTAAGTGGAGACTGCTAGGGCTGAGGTGGCAGTGGAAGGTCGGGGCTGTGTCCTAACACTTATCTCACCACGGGAGGTGCTCAGCTTCCTGTATCCCAGGGCAAGTCAGCAGAAAGGCAGGCGTGTGTATTTAGCTACAATTTCCAGGTGCTGAAAAATACAGACAATAAATAAGATGCTGGAGACCTCCATCCTCTTGCATATATACCTGTAGTACGTGACCTTCAGCGCTAGAGCAGATCACTTAGAGATGGCAAATAAATGCAAAATATCTTCCTGCTTCACCTGGCCAAATTTTATTCAAGAAAGGATTTATCTGGAGAAACCAAAGGAATGCAGTCGGTGTTTGGCTCCTGGGGGCACTTCGCAAGCCAGCCGTCTCTGATATCCCATCCGTCTGCACCCCGGTGTTAATTCTGGGAGTCACCCATCACTTAGCCAAGCTAAGCCGTGCTGCAGCTCCAGCCTGTCCCCGCTGGCAGGACGCTCAGCTCTCCGTCTTGTCCTTGTCTTGCCTCTGCCTGCCTCGTGGCACGGATCTCTGCAGAGCGGCCAGGCCGCCAGCAGCTCTTTCTCTTTGGGTTTGCACAGCCTTTTCCTTGGGATCCAGGGGACTTGTTTGTATTAACGTAATTGGCAAACACATTGTTCAAATATTAGCAGTGGCAGCAAAACCATTGTGCGGGAGTAGTCGAGGCAAGCAGCCCCTCTGCTCGCAACAGTTAAAACCTGGATGCTGTTGCCAGGCATGTTAGGCGCTGAACACGATCCAGAAAAGCTGTCCAGCTCTGGAGCTGGCTGAGCAGCTCCAGTCTTAGTCATTATTAATGTGACTGGGGATAAAACTACACAGAAAGCCACTTTCTGCAACCGAAAGCATGTGATGAAGCACTTGGCGTTACGTTCAGCCGCCCCTGGTGCGCGGAGCGAGTGAGCAGGATGACGGGGGCTGTGCTGAGCCTCTTCAAAACCAGAGGAAAGTCATAAAGGAAAATGTCCTAATGGCTTTGCCACTACCCCACAGTTGTGTAAGATGTGCAGAAGGAGGTTTTCCAGGCACTTGTTGAACAGGACTTCGTGGGAAAGGTTTATAGTGATGAGCTGAATTCCACGACCCCACTGAATCAATGGCATTTTATGCCAGGTACAAATTGGGTCAGTATTTTTATGATGATGGCCTCCACTGATATACTGCTTGACTAAAAAAAAATAAAGGATATAAAGTGATCATAAAGCTCGGTTTATGCTTAAACATATGGACATGTGAATAATGCAGTTCCTATATGACAATAAAAAGGATGGGAGGAAGGTCTTTTGAATTCTTTATTGATGAATTTAATGTAGTGGGACAATACCAAATCAATGGCATGATGAAGGGGCTGGGGTTGCCAGGCCCACATCTCTGATTTGGGCCAATGCTACGGCTGATGAAAGTGAGAATTTTGGTCATTAAATATCCATCTTCCTCCTGAGACTCTGAGAAAGAAAAGTGCCAACAGGATCAAAGAGATCTCCAACTCGCAGTCATTTACAATGGAGTGCCAGTGAGAGGCAGCTGAGGAAAGCTGATGGATGAGGGTGCTGAGGATTAATAGGAATGTTCTTGCATATCAGTGCCCCCTATAAAAAATCCTGACTACCTCCTCCTTCACCCCACTATCCACCAATACTAGCTTTCTTTGGTCTTTCAGGTAAATCCCTATTTCTTAGAAATGTGAGTTAAGGGAGAATCATTTCTGTGTAAGAAAACATGCAGTGTTGTTTTTTTTTTCTGCAGGTGAAGCTGAAAAACACACCCCAGCATAGCCTGAAGATGTAAAAGAGAGAAGACACATAAACAAGAATTCAGAATGTATTTATAAAAACCTCATGCATTTTTTTCAGCTATTCTCATGCTGTTTGAACATGTAAAGCTGGGCACGCTCTGGCTGCAGTCAGAGTATCTCCTACGATAACTCTGTTGGAGTTGAGATGAGCTACATAAGCAGACAATTTGGCCCATAATTTTTCCTCATGATCGGCAATTTAAAAAATAATCTCTGAAGGCAGTGGGTGTTTGAACGCTGTTGTCTCTGCTCATGCTGTTGCTTTCCCTTACTGCTCCTGAACCCAGCCGGGTGCTGCTTGAAGCCCTGGCACTATTGCAGCCTTGTCAAAGCACCCTGACCACACTTCTGCTTGACTTGGCCGAAACTGGAGTACAACACGAATAAATGCCTGTCCTCTCACTTTTCCAAACCCACAAGGAATCAAATCTACCCAAAGTCACCTCTGCTTCAGGTGTGTAACAGCAGTGCCATGTCCTCCCTTCTGCTATGGGGAAACTGATGCTCAAAGGGGATATTGTTTTGGCAAACAAACTAAAAACTGATCTATAAGAGGGTTAGAGATGTGAGCCCCAAACCATATATCCTGCCCATTCAATTAATTTTCTTCTAAACACCAATCTTAGGCTTTAACCAAAAGCCTGTCCTTAAATGAGAAGCAAGCAAACTCTGTGGTTTCAGCAAAGTGTTTCTGTTCAAACCAAAAAGCCTGGAGCTTTTGGTACATTATTGCATTCATTTAAAAACTGTTAAAATTAATGGGAAAGTGTAAGAAAACAAAAATCATTTAGGGAAGCTTTTTGTTTTAATATGTATAAACTCAAAGAGATTGATGTACTGATATTTTTTCTGCACAACCGTTTTGTTAATGAAGTATTTTGTTGCTTATTTACCTTTACAAATATCCAAGGACAGCTTCACCGCAGGGTTTGTTATTCCCCAGCAAGCAGGAAGTTTGTGGTTTTAGGGAAATGCTTTTATTTAACGTTTAAAACAGAATGCAGATCTGATTCACTTGCAGCATTTCGCTCCAGTATGATATTTCAATAGATCAATAGGATTGATAGCATGAAAAGTTAAATATAAACTCAATTTTGTTGCAAAATAGTTGAAGGATAGTGTGAAAATGCTCCAAATTTTGTTTTAAGTCAAGATCCCCCAGATTTGGCAATTCATTTCATGATAATGATATTTTGGGGCACATTATTCTCTCCCACGGGCTTCAGAGTAGGGCTTATACCTGTCTACACCGAAGGAAAATTTGAAACAATTTCTGCAGCATCGATATTTTCCAGCTGATTTTTTTTTTTGAATGCTGCTTTGCAAATATTTTGATGGAAAATCCCTAACAATCTCCCACAATTCAATGAACTCAATTGGATTCCTTAAGTGATAAATTCAGAGAATTGCAGCACCACAGAATGGCAGGGGTTGGAAGGGACCCTAAAGGCCACCCAGTCCCAGCCCCGTGCCGTGGCAGGGATGCCACCCACTAGGTGAGCTTGCCCAGGGCCTCATCCAGCCTGGCCTTGGACACCTTCAGAAATGGGGCATCCACAGCTTCTCTGGGCATCCTGCTTGCACCTGTGCCCAAGGGAAATCTTTGCATTTCGTAGCGTTCTTATTCAGTTTGGGTCTTCCTTGGTTGTGGCCCTGCGTTGCCTCCCAGTTGTGCAGTTCCCACAGGTGACTGGTCGAACACAAGTGTCATTTTGGCTGCTCCCTGTTCATATCTTGGCTGCTTAATTATGTCCTGCAGGTGGTGTCCTGGAGGGGTGCAGGGAGAGGAGAGGAGGGAACCTTCCAAGGAGCATCAGTTCAGGTTGGGTGTCCATCCAGCCTAAGAATGGCGATTGTCACCTCCTTCCCCACCCTTAGACAACAAGTGAGAGCTGTCACATTCACTGCCAGCACGCTGCCACTTACCCTTTCAGCCTGTAAGTACTGATATAACTGTGACAAACGCATACTCACAGGAACAGGAGATGTAAGGATGCAGCTGCAGATCCTGGACCATTACAGATGTTTCCAACAGGCTCCTTCTGTTATCCCTACAACCTTTCTTCTTCGCTCCCAACCAACCATGACATAGCGGATTCAGCCACATGGAATTAAACACATCTCACTCCCCCTCCCTCTCCCCCCCTTTTTTTTCCCCCATTAATTGTATTTCATACTGAGTTCTGATGAGCTTTAGGTATCTGTCCTTATATGAGCCAAAGGTAATAAAATAACAACAAGATCCCCAAAGTACTAATAGGGTAATATGTGGTGAGAGGAAGGTACCAAGTGGAAAAAGAAGCAAGGGATAATATAAAGAAAAGGTAGAAAGAAAAAGGAATGATGAGAAGAACAGAGCGATAAGAGCAGGAAAAAAAAAAAAAAGAAAAAAAAAAGAAAGCAATGTAAAGTCAGAAATAGGGGAAAGGCTAAAAGGCAAAAGGGCAGATGGAAGAGAGAAAGAGGAGAAGATGAATGGGTGGGCTGAAGGAAGGCAAAGGAAGGGAAAAGCTGAGTAAGGAGGGATGAAAGAACTCCAGAGTGATCGGTTCTGCAGGTGCATCTCAGCAGGTTGCCTCTGATCGGCTCTCTCAGGGACACAGCATGTTACCTGGACTAATTTATAAAGGAAATGAAAAGGAAATGGACTTGTTATAATGAACACCATTAATTCACCTCTTCAGACTTCACTGTTTGAACAGAGAGTATCAAACTACTCAATTGTCATTTGTCTATTCCATTCTTCTCTGTTGCCTGTTGGAAGTGACTGGTGAGCACATACGCCCCCGAATGGCTGCACAGCCACTAATTAGCATATATATTGTTTGTCCTGGTACAAATTTATAGCAAACAGCAATATTTTACACTCCAGTAAAGTTAATAAATGAGGCTTTAGGCTATAAAAATTTCATGTTCTTTTGTGCAAAGGTCAATTATAAATAGTTAAGCACATATTCATCCAAAAGCTTTGGGCTCCAGCACTGGAAGAATAAAATATATTTTGATCAGTCCACTTGCCAGCTGGACCCATGCCTCTCGTGCAGCCTCTGAGACACCTTTCTCCAAATGGCCATTCAGTTGTAGAGTGCTTTTGGCCATGAGATGACTGAGGTCATGCTTTAGCTTACAGGAGGAAGATGCTGTGAAATGTTAGAGGTACGCTAGGATCACGCTGAGCCAGGCTAGTGGAGATTTTAATGGTTCGAGTTGTCCTCTCTGAGAAGCTCTGGGGCTGCAAAATCAGATGCGTACACTCAACGGTGCCGCTGATGCTGTTAAGGACAAAAAGTCCTTAGGGAGAAGCTAAAACTAAGGAATATGAAAGCCCTTCCTCATTTTCCATATGCAAAAAATGTGGGTTTAAAGATATCTTTTATTTGTATTACGGGAACACGTAGGAGCTGCATTGTGCTCGACGCTATAAATATATAGAAGAGAGGTGGCCTGTGTTTTAAAGGGCATCATCTGCATATGAGTGATGGAAGGAGAGGTTCTGCAGTCACATGCGTTATTACTAATATAATTCCTTTATATTACAGCTTCAACAACAAGACTATGCTGTTATATGGGGTCATATGTGAACACAGATAAAGACAGACGTGTCTCCTTGGGACTGAGAGCTTATAAGACAGGGATCAATGAACTGGATATATCTTCTTTCCATTGCAGGTGGAGGGGAAATGCACTGGCATTTCCTGCAACAGCCTTCTTGAGGCTGGAGCTATTAAATCACAGAAAAATTTTGAGGGATTGTGGTGAAGCTGGCCTGTGACAATGTGACAAGGAAATTCAATCAGAGGACATGGAGATTATAGGATAGACTAGACTGAGCAGGGGATGCAAGCAGCTGCTTACTGGAAAGAGACACCGTGAACAAGAGCATCTGAAGACTTGACACCGCAGGAGGTAAGGAATGGAGAAGTCTGGAGCCCAGATCACGGAGGAAGCAGTGTTAAACAAACTGTCACCCAGCATTTGTCATCAGTGTTAACCTGGTAACCAGGCAACTGAGAGATATGTAAGAAGCTCACTGCTTCATCCAGAGTGAAGGGATGTGTTTGGAGGGGATGAGAAAGGGCTTAAGAGCTCTGTGATTCACGGGATCAGCAACCCATCATCAGGGGCTGTCGGGCTGGCAGGCAGGACACACTCACACACATGCTGACTTTATAGGATAGATTAAGGGTGAGGCAGGAAAGCATGGAAATGAAGGGAAGAAATCAGCACAAATGGGAACTGTACCAAAGAGCTGAAGCTTCAATTATTGCTGTCATTAGTTACTTCTCAACAATTCCTGTAGTTGTCCCAACTGCAGTATTTCATGTTGGTTTACTGCCTTCCCTCTACCTCTCCAGGGCTGTGCATCCAGCGTGTCTCTGTGAAGCTTTGTTCTCAGCTACGGGACATATTCAGCCCCACGTATCATCCCTCCACTGCCCAGAGACCACATCAGACACCACCAGCTTCAACAGAGAGAAGGAAAGCCACTGGACACCAAACAGCAGCAGGTGGGGATGGGGGAATAAAGATGTTGAAAAGGACTGTTGACATCCAGAGACCGGCTTGTCTTTGCAGACAGGAGACCTTTTAGTTGGACTGGTTTCATACAGGGAATGGTTTGAAGGTCCTGTACAAGAGAAGTTTGGCAGGGAACAGAAAGCTACGTAGAGGTGAGATGAAATCAGGAATGCTTGGCACATGGAGAGACGTGGAAGGGTCTGGGGACAGAGGAAGAAGGGGTAGGGTGAAGGGGGAGATGAAAGGGTTGTTACCACTCTGCGTGTATCCTAAAAGGAGAACACAGCACACAAAGCTTGACTTTCCCACTCACCTGGCCATGTGAACAGAGGGTGTGCAGAGTTCCTCGCTCTCAGCTCTCTGTGCGGAGCAGGAAGGAGGCACTCTGCACACCATGGCCTCCTGTTACAGACTTAATGCTAAAGTTGGCTGAAGCTAAACTATTTTCATTATAACAGCCTGCAAATTCATTTCCCTGCATTTCAGCCCAATCCATTTTTTCTGCTTGACATTAAGGAAGCTCTGCTGCAGCAGGCAATCCAGTAGAGAGCGATAACAGGATTGGAAAGGAGAGGCAGTCACCCAAGGTCAGCAGAAGCCTTTGGCTGCCAGTGCCAGGGTGGCTCAGCAAAGGTCACCACAAACGGGCAGGGACGTCTGGTTTGCAAAAGGCTGCTCATTATACACAGCGGGCCCGGCCCGAGTCGTGGGGGGGATTCAGGGATGCATCTGGCACCCAGAGAGGCAAGGGATGCTGATGTCTGCACTTGGTCAGGAGGAGACAAAGCTCAGCAAAGAAGACAGTGCAGCTGTGGCTGTCATGTTGGCTTTGCTTCATTTACGGTGCCTGTTAATTACACGAGGCTTGTGTTGGGAACAGCTGGCAAGTTCCCTCCTTCTGTCCCGCTTCTGCATGCGCTGGGTCGGTTGTGTTCTTCCTGGGATTTCAGTGCCAGGACTGGGAGGGATTTGTTAACTGACTCTTTGCCTCAAAGGTGACCCAAGTCAGACCCAGGAGGTCCACGGAGCTGGATGCCAGTCAGCTGGTCCTGACCTTTCTTCTTCATTCCTCTCTTTGTGCGTCCGGGCACCAGTTCTCATTCTGCTTCTGGTTGTGCCACTCCCCAGTTTTAAACTGAGCTGTGAAACAATTTCATCTCAAACCATACAAGCTGACCAAAGGAAAAGAAGGAAAAAATAATTTCAGATACAGCTGCTACAAACCTAGATCCTCCGCATTGCATGTAGTTTAGGTTTTAAAGGTTTGGAATTGCTAGAGCCGGGGGGGAAACAATTCAGAAGTTTAAGGCACAGAACTTTTGTTACTCCCTCTAACTCAGGAGAGGTTATATTTGTTAGGCAGTGGTGCATTAGTTACAGGAGGGCTCACTCTCAGAAAATGTCTACACAGCTGTTTTCAGACATAACTCTTAGGATTTAAAAAAAATTTAAATAAAGTTTGCTGAAGACTTTGAATGCAGCCTGGATCTTATTGTATAAGAGCAAAGGCTTGCATTCCCCCACCTGAGAACAAAATCTAGTCTGGAAGTGCTGTTCTCGAACAAAAATGACAAGCCTTGTGACAGCACATCTCCTTCACAAGGGAAGTTAGCAGAAGTCCTGCCAGTTTGCTATTCTGGCAAAATGAGCGGAAATCTGCCTGAAGAAATCCAGGAAAAATGGATATAGTAATACCTTGCATTAAAAAGAGGTTTGGATGAACGTGGCCACTAATTGAAAAGAAAACAGCTATAGGGCTGCCCTTTAGTGAGACAAAGCCATAGTTCTTGGTGTCAGCCAAGGTGTCTTGAAACTTGTCAGTGATGCTGTGGGTCAAAGCCCTCTCCTGACATTGCAGAAAGCAGCTGGACACCAAAATGCTGAGGGCTGGACAGTGCTGTAGCAAGGGCGCGATGAGAGAGGCACCAGCCCTGGCACCCTAGGGCAGGAGGAGATATCAGAGGAGGACAGCGCTGCCAGAGCACCCCCAGCTCTGCTGCTGCCATTTCACCCTGAAGTGGGGCTGCAGGCCCACAGAGGGGGCTGGAAGGAGCCTGAGGAGTGTGAGAGGGGTGTCCTGTGACCCACAACATCTCCTGTAGCTCTGACTATGGCGGTCGGACTGGCTGATACAGGTTAGCTGTCCACTCTCTCACCTGGCTATATTAACCCCTCAGGAGTTCAAAATCTCATATAGATTCAGAAATTTGGAAGCTCAGACTGTTCTCATCGAAGCTTTCAATGTTATTATCTCTGCTACTCAGCGGTAGATTCCAAACACCCTCAGGAATTCACTTTTAATAAATGGTTGTGGGGCAAAGAGGTGGAGAGCATCCAGCACGGCCCCTGTTATTATACTTTCCCCTTGCTCAGTGCAGCTCTTACTCAAATATTGGAGCCATAGGGGGCTGCTGGTGGTGATGGGGAGCTTATTACAGTTCATTTCTCATCCAAATTAAAATCAGCACATTTGGTTCAACTTGCTGTGCTGACTGAGCGCTTTTGCTGGAGCAGAGCAAGACCAGTGGTCCTTGGCAGGGACAAATATGGGAGGTGGACACTGGAGACTCACTACCTGAGAAGACAGAGGATCACTGACTGCAGAATTAAAGCTAGCACAAATTACCCCCTCCTGTTCCCACCAAAGTCAGTAGTCAGCTTGGAAAGCAACAGGACTGCCTTCAGACTGCAGGCTTGTGAGGAGGTGATGTAGCGAGTGCCATCTACATCTGGAGAAGGCTAAAGCAGAAAAAAGGAAGAAAAACAAAGAAACAAAAAAAACCTACTGGTCCTAAGTGAGTTGGCAATAGGCACGGCCACCTGAGTGCCACAGCTCAGCTGGATGGCTGAAATGTTGGTCAAACCACCTCTCTCCTGGCAGCACACCTCCCCTGAGGCCTGGGCTGTTCCCAGGCTCTGCTGGGCCCCCTCAGGTGTGCTGTATGAGAAGCAGTGACCCAGCTGTCTGCCCCAGGCACAGATCCCTTTCGGTGGACTACAGCAACAGCTGAAGACAGTTTCCTCACTGCGGCAGGATCCGGCCTCTCCAGGCAATGCGAGGAGAAGGTGGGAGGCAGCCGGGTGGTAAAGCCCTGATCTGAGTCATTGGAGTGACTTGCAGAATTCATTTGACTAAGCAGCTGAAGGCACTCAGAGAGTTGTTTTCTTCTTGTTGGTTTTTCTCCCAGCTCTGCTATCTGTAACATTTCCCATGTTTCACCTGCCCAGCCTTTCAAATCATACACACGATGTGCATGCACACACACAGGCTGATGTTTTCAACATCTTCACCCTTTCTCCCATGAGCATCCTCAGCTGTCAGTCTCCAGGTAAATTTAACTTGCCTGTGTCCTTGACCACACCAAGGAGTGAGATGCAAATGGCCTATGTGGCTTATTCCCAAGTCAGAATACGGCCTCAGCCTCTTCAGTGGGAACGAGTCAGTAGTGGCGCTCTTCACTGCTGTTCAGAAATCTGAATTACAGATGTTTCCCTTTGAAATCCCCTTTCACCTGGGAGTAGAGCCGTGGGCTCCAAGGTTTATTTTATATTTTACTATTTTATTCCAATTCTTTCTTTCTTGTCTTCAAAAGGTACTTCTCACAATGCAGAGGGAGGATCTATTTCTTAGTTTAAGAGGGAAAAAAGTAAATGTGGAACAATACTTGACAAAATAAGCCTATAAGGGAAAATCTTCCTGCAGTTTTACTTTTTATTGCAAGTTATTATGTACACCTCCAGCTCTGACATTATTTTATAATCCAAAATACTGCCACTCAGTTAAAAATAAATAAATAAATAAATACAAATATGTTATTACCTCTTTGCCTTGCTTAATAATGGACACCTTAGGTACGGTTCTCCATAAAGTCTAAGCAGCTGGTGTCCCTGCTGAATTCTACAGCTGCTCTTGTCCCCTGCTCTGCTCACATCTATATGCTGCAGCACCTATTTACTCGGCCAAGAGCCAGAGATCCCAGCTGAGGGGGAATTTTAAGCCTATGAAACTATTTATTGTCGTCTATATACAGCCTCTGACATCAATTTAATTTCCTGTTTTTATTGACCCATTTCACACTTCTGAAGTCGATTTGCAAAGCCCGTTAGGGACAGGTGTGCTCCCATGTCCTACCTAAATGTCCATGCTAAATGTCCACAGTGCTCCTAAAGAGCACAACCGAGAGGCATTGCCTTGGGCCAGGGCTCCAGCTTATGGCATCGGCTGTGGCACACCTTGTCCCCAGAGCCCAGCAGTGAGCAACCTTGGGGACAGGCAGTGGCAGGGATGAGGAGGAAGGACAAGGACAGACCCAAGAAAAACAAAGAAAAATAAGGTGTGATCTGCCCCGACGGATCAGGATGGAAAAACATGATGGAAAAACAGGAGACTAAGATGGGGCTAACACAGAGAGTGATGGAGCCAGAAAGTGCAAAGATCTGGGAGAGGAAAAGAAAATCAAAAAAGAAAGAAAAAATGAGTCTGAGGAAGACAAGGGAAGAAGGAAATGTGTAACAGAAATAGCTTGTACTGGAGCTGCAGGGTTTGGTTTGCAGATAAGGGTTCTGGAACTGCCTCTGGAGGCTTTTCTTACTCCATACACTTTCCATACACAGTCCATAGACTTTGGGGCTCTCCCTGCTGTTGATGGTCTGGTTGGAGGACACTACATCAGCCGCAGTGTTCCTCACTGGAGAAGATCATTTACTCTGACAGAGGGCTCCTCATTTTCAGGGCATGTCAGGAGGTGGCTCTGAGTTCAGGAAAACCATCTTGGGCTTTTCTACACTGCCAGCAACACTCCTGCCTTAGGGCGAACACCCAGATTCAGCTTGGGGCCTTGCTGGCTGGCTCATCCCGCCCAGGCCCAGCCGTCCCTGCTGCGGGCCCACATGGCGCTGCTCAAGGCAAGGCCCCTGGCAGGGCGCTCATGGCTGAGCAGGCCCTGAACACCGCGCTGAGCAGGCTACCA